TTGTTTAACCTGAGTGAATTTGAAAACAGTGAAGAGATCTGTTTACTTTGAGAGGATGTCTGATGGGAGTCACCTGTGGTCTCCTAGAAAGGAGTACCTTTTGGAGACAGTTTTGACAGGACCAGGTGGCTACTGCTATAGCACAGTGTGGTGGAGAAAAGCACCATAAGGGATGCAGAATGGGCAAAGTACTTCTAATTATATTTAGTAGTTCTGAGACAGAAAATGACAGGCTTAGAGTTTTAAGTTTAAGCCATGACTAGAGAACCAGAGAATATCGATGACTGCCACACAATATCTTGTCCCTTATAGCCACAGTCTGGATCTGTAGATTTCTGATTTATAGTGTGTGCTGAATTCATAGCTTCACCAGGTTTCTGAAAAGACTTAAAAGCAATGACTAACCCAGTAGCAATGAGCAACCTTAGTGTTTAAATTATGGTCTCTAAATTTAATTTTCCACTATGATGAACCTGGGTAGAAAATATTTCCAAATGATATGTGATAAATGACCTGTATCCAAAATATATAGAGAACTATTATGAGTCAATACTAATAAGACAAACAACTCAATTAAAAGTAGGACAAATATTTGAACAGATACTTCACAAAAGAAGATATAGACATGGTTAACAAAAAATAGAATGAGCTCATCATTAGTCATGAAGGGAAAGCAAATTAAAACCAGAAGGAGGCACCACTACACACCCAATAGAATGGCTAAAATTTAAAGGCCTGACAATATCAAGTGTTGTAGAGCATAGGAAGCAATTGGATCACTCACTCATTGGTGGTGGGTATGCGAATATAGTATAGATCCTTTGGAAAAACAGTTTGGCAAGTTCTCATAACATCAAGCATACACATGGCATAAGACCCAGAAATTCCATTTTTGGGTATTTTCCCAAGGAAGGAGAAACATATGTTCACACAAAAACCTGTGTATAAATGTTTAGAGCAGATTTATTTATAACAGTCCAAAACTGGAAAGAACCCAAATGTCCATCAACCAGTGATTGGATGTTGTATATCCATGTAGTGCAATACTACTCAGCAACAGAAAGAGACAAGCTACTGATACATGCAAACTATGAACAAATCTCCAAAGCCTTATGCTAAATTAAGAAGCCAGACACAAGAGGCAGCATATTGCACAGTGCAATTTATAAGATATTCTAAAAATCCAAAATTATAGGGAGAGAAAACGATCAGTTTTTCCTGGAGAAGAGGGTTGGAGGGAAAGGTCTGACCTCAAAGGGGCATGAAGGGAATTTCGGATGATGGAAATGCTCTACATCTTCATTGTAGTAACAGTTACACGACTGTAAACATTTGTCAAAAATCATCCAGCCATATATGTTAAAATAAAAAGGAACCCCAAAATATAGACATGTGCAGTACAGACTAATTGTGGGGGAAAAATTAAAACAGTAGCTTTAAACTACTTTATGAAAACTCTACAATTTGTCATAGAAGTGCATTTTCAGAATGGGCTGGTATGATTCATTGGTTCAGAACATGGCTATAAAATTCAAGCTGACTTTGGTTCAAGTTCTGGTTCTGCCATTTATTAGTAGAGTGACCTTATGCTAATTACATCATTCATACCTGAAAGGCTTATGGTGGGGATTTAATGATGCACTTAACCACTTCGTCACTGCTTGGCTCATATGGGCATTCAACAAACGTTAGTTATTTAAGAACATTTAGAAACATGAAGTTTATATGTGGGGAGATACACATATAAGCAAATAAATTACAATATCTTGTGAAAATAGCAGAAATAGAGCAAGTGTAAGGCACAGTGATGGCAAAAAATGAGAAATGTTTCACCATGTTTGAAGAAGCCAATGAAGACTTTCTGGAGGAAATCATGACTAAGATAAATTCTGAAAGACAAATAGATGGTTTTCAGCCTGATTAGGAGAGTGAAGGGCATAAACTGTCATAGTGTACATGGAGAATTATGAGCAGTTTGCTATTCCTTTCCTTTTTCTTTCTTTCTTTCTTTCTTTCTTTCTTTCTTTCTTTCTTTCTTTCTTTCTTTCTTTCTTTCTTTCTTTCTTTCTTTCTTTCTTTCTTCTTTCTTTCTTTCCTTCTTTCATGATTAGAGAAGCTACTGCAATATGGAGGAGTTAGCCAGAATAAGCTCTTGAATGCTAACTTAGGAATCTTGTTGTATTTCATCATGCTTATGGTAGAGTGATCAGGAGCCAACAAAGAGGGGAACAAATTACAAAGATTACTTTTGTCATCTTGGAGAAGGTGGATTGAAGCCAGGATGAAGCTAGAGTGTGACAAACCTGTCAGAAGTCTTGTTAGATGAAATCAAGTAAAGAATGGTGACATTCAGCACTTGGACTATGGGAATAGAAAGGTGAGAATAAATTCAAGAGAGTTTTAGGGGAATCCACATAACTGATATGAAGGAGAATGGCTCTAAAATGACATTTAGAATTCATGCTTGGGTATCTAGGTGAGTAGTGGTATGTCTTTTTTTTTTTTTTTAAGATTTTATTTATTTGACAGAGAGAGACACAGCGAGAGAGGGAACACAAGCAGGGGGAGTGGGAGAGGGAGAAGCAGGCTTCCCGCTGAGCAGGGAGCCCAATGCGGGGCTCAATCCCAGAATCCTGGGATCATGACCTGAGCCGAAGGCAGACACTTAATGACCGAGCCACCCAGGCGCCCCGGGTAGTGGTATGTCTTGATAAATAGAAAAACATGTTCCTAAAGGGAAATGATGAGTTTAGGTGAGTAGTATTGATGTTTGAGGTGCCTGTGGACATCCACATAGAGCTTTCCAATAAAAGGAAGGATATATGAACCTAAAGCTCAGTATTGAAGTCGGCTGGGGAGCTATATGTATGGCAGTTGAAGTCACAGAAATAAAGAAGATCACCCTGGAAAAGCATAAAGTATGACAAGGAAACCAGGGACAGAACCCTGGGAAATATCAACACTTAAGTCTGTATAGAAAAGACCTTAAATAGTGGTCATAAAAGTAGGAGGATCAAGAGCAAGTAGTATCAAGGAAAACAAGGAAGGTGTTTCAAGAATGAGGTATCATCAGGAGTATTAAATGCAGTGGTGATGTCAAGGAAAATGAAGACTAAGAAACAGCCAATGGGGGCGCCTGGGTGGCTCAGTTGGTTAAGTGACTGCCTTCGGCTCAGGTCATGATCCTGGAGTCCCTGGATCGAGTCCCGCATCGGGCTCCCTGCTCGGCAGGGAGTCTGCTTCTCCCTCTGACCCTCCTCCCTCTCATGCTCTCTGTCTCTCATTCTCTCTCTCTCATATAAATAAATAAAATCTTTAAAAAAAATGATAAAAAAAAAAAAGAAACAGCCAATGGATTGGAGTAGTTTTAGTAGTGGGAGCAAATTAGATCACTGTGGTTTGAAGAGTGAACGGAGGTTAACACGTGGAAATATCAAATGCAGGCTACTGTTTTGGAAACTCATGGTCAAGAAGAGAAAGAGAAAAACAGAATGATAGCTACAAGGAAATACAGGTTGAAAGGAGGTTTTTCATTTGTTTGTTTCTGTTTTTTTGTTTTTTGTTTTTTTTTTTTATGAGGCAAGGGAGAGACTTCACAGTATTTCTATATTGAAGGGGAAAGGGCTGGAAGAGAGGGAGAGGCTGAAGATCTAGGAGTGTATTACTCAAGGTCCAGTCAGGAGACAGAAATTGCAAGTCATTTCATAGAAAATTTAATATAAAGAATTCTTAAATATGTATAAAGCTGTTTATCAGGTAATTTAAAAGATGATATAAGGACATAAAGGGATATGAAAGAAGAAACTGTAAGAAACATCTAACATTCTTAGGGCTGGGGGACCAGCAGAGGCAGGCAAGAGATGGAGTTTTATAAGTGTGAGAGGAATTCAGGAGAGGGAGAGATTTTTTTTTTTTTTTTTTTGCTAAAGTCCAATCAAAGAGTATTTTATGAAGATGGCATTTGAGCTGGGTTTAATTAAGTAGAAATGAAAGAATATTCCGGCAGTTACACAAGTTGCACATGACCCGGCAAATAGTAGATGCTTAATAAATATTTGTTGAATAGATGAAATTATGAAGGACAGTGAGCAAAATCCAGAGGGTTAAAGTATGGAAAAATTGGGGGAACGTACGTTTGACTGGGACTTGTGTTGTGGGAGAATGGTGGGCTGCACAAATAGAATAGGGATGGGGCAGACAGTTTTGAATACCAGGCTAAGGAGTTCAGACTTTATTTTAGGAAGCCAACTGAAGTTTGAGTAGGGGAGTGACATGTCTAAAACAATAGTTTCTGGAAGGTTGATCTGTCTCTGGTATTGTGAATAAATAGAAAGGAGAGAGGAACCGAAGTCATCAGAAGCCAAAAAGGATGACGTGGTTTGGGGTGACAGTAAGGATTGAAGAGAGGGAATAGATACGAGACAAAATGAAGAGGGCCAATTGACTTAACCGCTGATTGGAGGGGAGGGTGGAGGACGAAGAAGGGAAATGGAGATCTAGGCCATTGGGAAGAATGGCATAAAGAGGAAAGAAAGGTGGAAGAGGAGATTTTGAAGGGACAAGATAAGTTCTGTGAGGGCTTACTAGACACCCTAGTGCATGCAAGGTGTCGGCCCTGCAGGTCTGTGGCTTCGTGGAGTCCGGACAGGAAGTGGCGACTTGGAAGTCATCCGCACGATTCTGGCTGAGGCCTGTCTTTGGGAGAAAGCAATAGCATCTCAGAGTATGTGAGCCCAGAGCCGGTCCGCTGGCTAGAAGCTGAGGCTGCACTGCCTGCTGATTTACAGTTTTCACCTGGGTTCGCCTGCAACAACTAGGAAGAGGAGGATTCTCACGTCTATCCTGCCTCAAAGCACTGTACTCAGGGAGCGGAGGACGCCCGAGCTCTTTCCCTACCGACGGCTTTCCTAAGGCGGGACAATGAGCGCCATAGGGCTGCCGAGCGCGAGCTTCCTGGGCGGAGGCGCGCGCTTCCCTGCGCGCGCAGGCGCGGCACGGTGTCGCCTAGCAACCAGGAACAACAGTGGCCCAGAGCGCGCGCCGGCCGCAGCGGGTACAGTTCTCCAGGTCTGAGGAGCCGCTGCTCTGAGGGATCTCCTGGCAGGTAAAGGCAGGCGTGCGGCTACGCAGCTACGCCCGCGGTTAGGAGAGGCCCAGGGCCGAGGTCCCAGCAGAACTTGGGCAAGGAGAAGGTGCCCCGCGGGTGGGGACATCTGGGGCTACTGAGGGAAAGAACGAACACCTTGTAGGGGTTGTCGGTCCCTGCCCTATGCCCGCAGTATTAGACGGGGGTCGGGGTGGGTTTCATGAGCATCCCGGCCGCCTTCCATTTAACAGGTGACAAAACTGAGGCCCGTAGAGGGGCTCTGAGGGTCTAAGATTCCGTCAGTCCCCACTTGTTCTAGCCTTCCTCCTCCCCCTTCAAGTTTTCTCAAAAAAGATCTCCCCACTGGCAAACGTTTAAGGTCGTGTAGTCTGAAAGTTCACCAAGAAGTACAAATGAGTGATACATTTGTGGGGGAAAATGTGGCTCCTCTCTAATAATCAAGAAGACGCACATTTAAAGCAGATTTGTTTTCGTACTCAATGCCGTGAAGTTCATGCGTTTTCATCCAATTATTTTACTTTATCTTAAAGAAGCAGTTGCGGAATGTGGATGAACATTTTATGGCTAAGGATGTTCATTGCAGCCTTATCCATAATTTCAGGAAATTGGAAACAAATGCTCAACAATAGGGGACTGTCTAGATAAATAGTGCACTTTACAGTATTATTTTAAATGACATGATATCCTGATTCATTGGAGATGATTGGAGCAGTGTATGGAGACTGAGCTTCCATGAACTTGTCCATTAGTTTAAGAATATAGTAGGAAAATGGTTCCAGGAAGGGAAGTTGAGAATAGGGGCTAGAAATCCAGGTATGATGGTAAAATCACTATAGAAAACACACAAAAAAGGAACTATATTGAAATAGTGCTGATCTCCCTGAGTCTTTCCTGGGTGATTTTTTTTTTATCCTATGTGCCCTTCCTTGTCTTCCAAATTTTCTGTAATGAAATGTATTACCTCTGTAAGTGGACAGTAAACACAGAGCTATACACTTAAATATGATTAAAATGGTAAATTTTATGGTATGTTTATTTTAGCACAATAAAAAAACATCAATGGGCAGGTGGTAAAAGAGTCAAGGAAAGCAGGTTTGCTTCAAACAGTCAAAGGTATTTATTTTCTTAATTTGACACCTCTGAAGCTTTAGAAGAAAACACATTTTTAAAGAATAAAACAATATGAGGTAATTTGGTTGTATCATGTTGCTTTTAAGTGAAATGTTGAATTTACAAAGTTAAAAAAAAAAACACCTTAGGGTTATCTTTGAGGCTCATTGCCCTGGTTCTTTGTCAGTTGTATACTTTCTCCCCCATTAACTATTATGTTCAATTTGGCAATAAAAACACAAACCAAATGCTTCCTACTTCACGGTATTGCCTAAGATCAGCTTCATTGCTCTAATCTTGTGTTAAGGCTGTTCCAACCTCTATACTCTTCAATATGCAATTATTCAAAGCCACTATCCTGAAATGGGAAAAATAAGTTCCTGAGTGAAAATCAGATGACCTACAGTAACTTTGTGTAGGTGTAATTCAGTTCCTTCTCAAACATTATTCATAAGCAGTTCTTATGTAAGTCAAAGTCTGCTGTATCTTGGAATTGGTTGGAAAGAGCTATGAAATTTCTTTTTCCTAGAGATTAGTCGTAGGATAGATTTTCATTTGTTTAGAATAGTTTCTATGCATCTGCTTGGAATATTATAGACGCAGTCTAGGGTCTGTGCTTTTTAAGCATCTATGAAAGATGTTTGAATTTTGAAAAAATATTGCCTCTAAAATCTGAAAAGAAAATTGAAAAATTAATGTTAAATGTTTTTTATTAATATTAAATTACATTTGAAAACAATTTTCTCATTTTGTAAGAATTTCCAGGTGTACAAACTGCTGAATAATTTCAAATGCTTAATTTCAAAACTTTTTATGATGAAAATTATATTTAATGGAGAATGTGGGTACATTTTAATGTTGAATATATTGGATATAATGTGAGGTAGTGCATCACAGCATAAACTTGCGCAGGCCCTCAAAGATCTTGAAATGTATGTGACCCGAAATTAGGGACCTGGATGTCTGTCAGAAGTCCCTAGGAGTTTCTATGTACATGTGTCTTTATAAAATATGTGATAAATTCTGGTCAGTGTCTCTAATGCTAGGAGTTACATTTGTGCCTTGACAAACTACCTGAATTAACCCTGATGTAGATTCTCTCCAAGGATTTTCGACTTCCCAGAATTTCTCTGGAAACTATAGCAATTTCCTTGAGACTAGTTTATACCGTTTGAGATTGCTCAAATACCAAGCATAAATTCTCATTGGAGAAAATTCAAAAGATTTCTGGGGTTATTCTAACAGTCACCAACATGTTGGAAAGATCTCTGTACCCAGGTGGAATTACTCCTCTGTGGTATATCAACTATGAGTACCAACGCTTTGACATTTTTCCTGCACAGGCATTTTTCCTGCACATTTTTCCATACAGAGGCAGGTGGAAAAGGGTCTTGCAAGCAATAACTCCAATTTCCCCAGAATACATCTCTTCAGATTCTCAATTACTTGTTTTAATGAGCTATGGATTATATTAGAGAAAACTTTTGGTTATCTGGGAAAATGACACAAATGTTAGTTTGCAGTTGGTTATGTCTTGGGTATCATTCATAAAATCATACTCCCAGGAAAAACAGTTAATGATTTTTATAAATATCAAATGCCTATTTATGTACCAGACACTGTTGGGTTAGATCAGTGCAGAAAGCAGACAAAATCCATCCCTTTGTGGCAAAACATTCTTGCAGATCTCAAAAGTAACTTGGATTTAGTCTCCCAAGCCCTCCATAAGTGAGCTGTAAGCATGGTAAACTGTTTCCTGTTATGTAAGTAAAAGTTATGTCACTAATGTATTCTCTTTCTTACGAACTGGAAGCCAGACTAATGCTCAACAATCTTATCAATAAGTTCCTTAAAATTTGAGGATCTGAAATAGGAATGTAGGTAACATTTGTACGTGTACGATAATTTCTACAAGTACTGCATAGTCTGTTTTTAGGTAAAATCAAAATAAGGAAATGAATCTCCTTCTAACGGCATAGGCAACTGAGAGGTTTGTACATCGGATATACGATGTACAAATGACAATTTTTTTTTTTAAGTGGGCTCTACGCGGGGTCTGAACTCACAACCCTGAGATCAAGACCTGAGCTGAGATCGAGTCAGATGCTTAATCGACTGACCTGCCTAGGTGCCCCTTTACAAATGACACTTTTAACTATTTATTTTTCCAGAATGGGTAAAAAGATAAAGAAGGAAGCAGAACGTCCTCCTAAGGATGTGGTAAGTTTCTGATTTGAATATTATAGTAGCACATTAACAACCAGTTTTAAAAATAAATTGTTCAAACAGTTTGGCACATACCAGTATATGCATGAGTACACAGTGGCAGAAGTCCAAAGTCTGACTAATGATAAGATTAGTTAGAGAAATCTAACATTATATAAACAACATTTACAATGTTGTCATTACATAATTAGCACAATTAGGGAGTAATTATTAGCTTTTCCAGTATGTGGATGGCATGTTTATAAGCCTAGTTAATGAACAAATAGTTTGGTTTGTTCTTTTAAATATTTTAAATTTATATTTGCCTGCCTGTCATTAATGTTAATCATCCAAGTGAATTTTCAAAATTAACTAGAGTTTATGCTATAGCTACTAGATAGGTATAATAAGGTTGTCTGACGAAGACCACTTGGACATCAGAAGTCTTGTATTTTCCAGTTCTATGGAGAGAAAAGTGTGGGTTCATCTTCTTTTTCTATTCCAAATATTTGAGTAACGCATTGCCTACAACACAAAACCCTGTCTCCCTTTTAAAAGCATGGTTTTATCTTATTTCTTTAAAGTTTATGAATTATCAAAATATTGTGTTAAAAATAGAAAATGAACTTGGACAGTTTTCAGTTTAGAAACTTATTTTGAAACAGACATTTGGTGTAATTTTCTTCAAATAAAATGCGAAAGAAAAAAAAGTGCTTATAGTCAGTCAATAGACTCGTAGGATTTTATAGTTTGAGGGAGGCTGAGCTTAGTGCAGTATCTTCCCAACAGCACTGGAGCTGTGTGGTTACGGATGTGAGCTATGTCTCAGCTCTGCCTCTCATGAGCTGTGTTGTTTGGCACAGTTGCCAAATGCGGCTGAGTTATTTCAGTTAAAAAAAAAAAAATCTTCAATGCAAATTGTAATGTCCAACTCATTTTGGTTGTTGTATGAATTAAAATGAAATAAAGCACATCAAGTTTTCAGTACCTGGCACACAGTTAACACTAGTATATAAGGCTTATTATGGGACTCCTTTAGACTCTGACACACACATACACACACACACACACATCCTTATGTAACTTCTTATGTATGATCCTTCAGTACAGTTGGGAATAAAGGCTGCAGAAACATCTGTCTGCCCAGGTCTAGGAAAGCTTTGCAGAGATAGATGGTTATTGTGGTTCATGATGCATTTTCATCATTCTAGTTGCTCTCCCTTTGGACATACTCCTAAAACATTCCAAATTCTCTTTTTTTTTTTCATTGCATTCTAAGTTTGCATTACTACTTTTTATTGCAAAGTAGCATTTTTTAAAGATTTTATTTTATTAAAGATTTTATTTATCTATCCGTCTATCTGAGGGGGAGAGAGAGAGTGAGCGAGCATGCAGGGGGAAGGAAAGAATCTCAAGCAGACTCCCTGCTAAATGAGGATCCCAACAGGGGCTCCATCCCAGGACCCTGAGATCATGAACTGAGCCTAAATCAAGAGTTGGACACTTAACCGACTGAGCCACCCAGGTGCCCCAAGATTTTATTTTTAAGTAATCTCTACACCCAACATGGGGCTCAAGCTCACAACCCCAGGATCAAGAGTTACATGCTCCATGGACTGAGCCAGCCAGGTGCCCCGCACAATAACGTTATTGACATCTTATTACCAGAAAGTGGACTAAGGAACACAGAGCTTGCTGACAAAGACTGTCTAATTACAATTGGAAGGAAGGGACTATTAAGCAATAGATATATTTGTCTAATACACTTTCTATAATTTTGCAACATCTTGCTTGCATTGTCCTCTGTACTCTAGACCTTGTGGGGCACAATCAAGGACTTGAGAAACGGTTTTAATCCTAGTGTTACCAGAAATCTAGCAGTTCACAACAGCCTTAGGGACAGCCAAAGCATGTGTAATGGCCAGTTTTAAAAAAATTACTGCCTGTGTTTTCTTCTGGGAGTTTTATGGTTTCAGGTCTCGTATGTAGGTCTTTAATCCACTTGAGTTTATTTTTGTGTATGGTGTAAGATAGTGGTCCAGTTTCATTCTTTTCCATGTAGCTGTCCAGTTTTCCCTACACCATTTGTTGAAGAGACTGCCTTTTCCCCGTTCTATATTCTTGCCTCCTATTTTGTTCCATTGATCTATGTGTCTTATTTTTGTGCCAGTACCATACTGTTTTGATGACTACAGCTTTGTAGTACATCTTGAAATCTGGGATTGTTATAACTCCAGCTGTGTTCTTCTTTCTCAAGATTGCTTTGGCTATTTGGGATATTTTGTGGTTCCATACACATTTTAGTATTATTTGTTCTAGTTCTGTGAAAAATGTTGTTGGTATTTTGATAGGGATTGCATCAAGTATCCCTCCATAGATGAATGGATAAGGAAGATGTGGCATATATATATGTGCAATGGAATATTACTCAGCTATAAAAAGAATGTGATCTTGCTGTTTGCAGCAACATGGAAGGATCTAGAGGGTATAATGCTAAATGAAGTAAGTCAGACAAAGAAAGACAAATACCTAATGATTTCAATCATACATGGAATTTAAGAAAAAACCAAATGAACAAACAAAACAAGAGACAAACAAAAAAAACATACTTTAAATTCAGAGAACAAACTGGTGGTTGCCAGAGGGGAGGTAAGTGGGGGATGGATGAGATAAAGGGGATTAAAGAGTACACTTATCTTGAGAACTGAGAAATGTATAGAATTGTTGAATCATTATATTGTACACCTGAAACTAATATAACACTGTATGTTAATTATACTTTAAAAAATATGGAGTGAGACCAAGGGGGAAAAAAAAAGGCATGCGACAGTTACCAATGGTCCTTGACTATTACCTTTCCTCAAGGTCCTTCCATTCTCTCCTTACTCTGACTTTATGTTAATAAAGCTGATAGATTAGTGTGAAAGTATGTAGCTACTTTCTATCTTACAAATTCAAATACTTCAAAACAGTATGCCACAATTTAAACTATCTGAACTTGAAATTTTTTCCAAGGTGTACCTCTTCAATGTCTACAAAAGTTTTCTTGTACAAATTTTAAAGGAAGACCAAATTTAAAAGATGAATATATAACCGCTTAAAAAAATAAACTTTCCTGTGTCAAATAATAACTTCCTGATAGAGTTCCTAAAAACATTATTTCCAAAGATTTGTATTTTTATTAGTCTTTCATCTACTATTTAAAATGGGTTATGGGGACAGAAAGAAGAATGTTCAGTTATATGGTCAAAATAAAGCTCCCTTTGTTTTTCTTAATTTTCTCATTGTCAAAGCATACATTTGATATATGCCTATATGCTGTATTGACCTCCATTCCTTCTCATGAAAGTGACCACTAGCTTGGATATGGGGAAGATATAGCTTGAACGAGCAGTGCAACTATATTCTGCCTCCCCACATCATTTCTAAGTCTGGCTGAAAGGTTGTTTGTGATGCTTTAAATAAAAGGCAAACTTTCTGTGGAGTGATTGCATAAGAGAGTTACTAGCAAATGACCTTAATAGACAATATTTAATATAAGGCAAGATATTCAGTTACTAAGAATATAGGCTCCGAGTTATACTACCAGAAACTGAATCTCTACTCCATCATCTACCATTTATGATCTGGGGCAAAGTTCCCAACCTCTGTACTCTCCAGGGAGGATGAACTGATACCCACTTCATAACTACTCACAGCAGTGAGGCAAGGTTAGATAAATATAAGATGCTTAGAACAGTGCTTGGCACTAGATAAGAACTTAGTAGAAGTTGTTATTTTGAATGATGTAGCTGAGGGTGCTCTTCATCACTCTGTAAAACTTTAGAATTTTTATGAATTGTCAAACGAGGCAGGGAGATCAACTGTGGAAGACCAGATGGCCACTGAAGTTCCTGGTGGCCTGGGGTGTGGCCGACATGATTCACGGTCAGGTCTTCAAGTTTATGAGCATGGAATGTTTATTTTCTTAATATTTCAGAGGAAATCGCATTTAAGTGGATAAATCCACAGCATCTAAACTCATAAGGGACTATGGTTCTGGAATCTTAGTAAGTATCAAGTTACCCGAAGATTTATGTTAATGGGTCAGCACCTTCTCTTTGTAGTTCAGTGCATCTGGGGAAGCTGAGCTCTGTGAGTACTGAGTCAGAGTGACAGGCACTAGCAGAACCTGCTCCCTCACCTGGGCAACCAAACCCAGTTCCTTGAAGGAGTGGGATGTCTCCAGGGTCTTGTTTCTCCAGGACACTTTCATCAACCGCAGAATGTAACCCTTGACGCTCTGTCACCTACTGCCAAAACGGACTTATTTCAGAAATGAAGGTTTATGGGAATTTATTTTTCTGTCTTTCGCTCTCATCACAGATAAACAAGATGTAATGACTTAATAAAAATTAGTATAAATTAATAAACATATACAAAACTGTATAAACAATTATCAACTTGCTTACCTGGCTCTAAACCTTTACTTTAATTCAGGTCGTAAAGAAGACTAGAGACAATGTTAGCTGTTTTCATTTTAATTTTTACACTTTTTAGCAGATTTTAACTGATGTCTAGATGTTCTCTACTAAAAGTTTGTATTAGAGTGGTAGTCTGTTTCCTTCTGTTTATCTGTCTCTCTTTTCCTGTGTAATTGGTTCCTTGTGATCTGAGACCACTGATATAGTAAACACATTCCAATCGACATCAAACAAGCCTTTTATTTGCCCTTATTGGTACCATAAAAATCACTAAACTGTCATGATTTATATACTTTCACTGAGTTCAACTTTATAATTTTGTATTCTTTTAGACCTGTGCTAATGCAGTAGTCACTAGCCACATGTGGTTATTTAAATTTAAATTTATAATAATTAAAGTAAAATCAATCAAAATCAACAACTAAAAATTAAATGAAAAATTCAGTTCCTGTCACATTACACTTCAAGTGCTCAAATGCCCCACATGGCTTGTGACTGCTGCATCGGATGATGAAGAATCAGAACATTTCCATCGTTGAAATTCTACTGGGC